CATAACTGTGTCCGTAAGAACGGGTGTATTTTAATATTTGACAGATGTCGCTTGCAGTCTATCGCGCTCTACTTGCTCAGCGCATCACACTTAAAAACACCCGGAAATTCAATTTCATTATTAAAACTTACTATTTCCATTGCACAATCGAAACACTTATTTCAACAAAATTTTCCACAAATTCACAAACACTTTTTGCTATTTAATGTTTTTCACTCACCGTTCGAGGTCCGTTCCACTGTTTGGAAAACTAAAGGTTCTTCCTCCCTCGTTGCAGCCAACAATACATTTTCGTCAACTGGTGGTTGTTTTCGCCATTTTATCTGTAAAATAAAATAAAAAAGTATTAAATAAATGCAAAATTATTTAATAGAAGTTAAAATATACTCACATCTTTTAACTCACGTGCTGTTTCGCTTTCGCTATTATTCGAACAATGGCCGTTACAAAATGAGACAAAAAAATGAAAAATGTCTCCATTCGAATAATAATTTGGCGGAATATCAATCTGGCCATCGCTCGTTTCCAATTGCTAAACGTCAAAACCTCCTGAACTCGATCAACTGTCAAAGTTTAGGTGGTTTTGAGGTTTAGCAATTGCTCTCTCAGTTCCAGTGAGAGAGAAGTTAAACACCTCTTTATCTCTGGAAGTTGTTTACCAAAGTGCAGTGGCAGTGAATAAAATATAAAAAATAAAACTCAAACATACTGTGTTTTTTCTCTTAGTTACTTTGCGGGTGAACAGACGTTTCTATTAAATAATTTGTGGTGAAAGATCTAGCGCAGCATCTTAACTTTTGGACGACACTTTTTTTACTTTACATCACAGATACTTACAAAATGTATGTACCATATAAAATAATTTTAAAATTAAATATGTTTTTGAACTTTGAAAAGGGTAACAGTTAATAAAATACCACAATTAACACACACACAAGTTATTGGCATAAAGATCTCGTTTCACAAAAGTGAATATTGTATGCTTTACGTCTCAAAATATTTTCTGAAGATTAATAACTTATATTATAGGTTCTTAACTCACCTAGTTTAATTACTTATTTGTAAAGAATTTATTGAAATTGGTTAAGTTAGTGTTGAGTTATTAGTGACGCAAACTTTTAGCATGTACTACAAACTTCGCAAAATGGCAATGTTGCAAAACAGCTGCAATTTCTTACATTCAATATAATTTACGACGAAATTGCAGCTACAGGTATGTGATACTAATTTCAATGGAATCCATGGAAATTCACAATCAGCTGTTTACTTTTCGCTTATTTTTTTTTTTTTTGTTATTGTTATTTATTTGTCTGTGAAATGAACTATGTATTAATATTTAACTATAGTATTGTATGATTTGATTATTTTAAAATTGATTAATTACATATTTAAAAAAAATATATTTAGATGGAGAACAACTGATTTATTGCAATATTACCACGGGGCGCTTATTTAACCGAAGCTGCCATTTTGCCACTATTTTATAAATGCCATATTAAATGTGTGGTGTTATTGTGTTTCACCTGAAGGTAAAACACCATAAATTCCAATTTTCACACCTATAAAAATTTTCCGTGCCATCTTGCGATAATGTGTTTAACCTAAAAATAGAAGACCTTTCATATAGAGTTCTTATTGTAATATTTAGTGCTTCTGTCTGCTTGTTTAGTGAATACTCGCACAAACTATAGATATATGTATCTGATATAGATTGATAGATATTTAAGGATATCTACGTTAACCCTCGGGTTGAAATCATGCCCAATTGTTAAATAATCGCAAACCACGGACACCCTCCCTACTTCAATTCCCTATATTACAGTTTTGTATGCAGCAGTTGCTCAAAGTACTAAGTTTCATTAAGATTTCTCTATATATCAATTGTACGGACTGTTTATACCGATGTCTTATAATATATAAAAACATTACTTTTGGTCCAAAATGTTTCAATTTGCAGTTAAATATCCCATAAGAGGACAATGGCAGGACCAGCATTTCTGTCACTTAAGAGATTATTTTGGGCCGGAAAATATCAATGGTTTATGCAGATATCTGTTTAGAAGAGAGTCCGTTTAATACAGCTTCTGCATATGTATATACTGATATGACATTTCGAAGTCGATCCGCCTCAACCTATTTGTTGCTGTTTCCATGTGGAGGATGAATTAAGCTTAAAAGTCGTTAAAGTCGCCAAGACGGATTTCTTAGTGGGGGCAGCTCTCAAAGGTGCGCTCAAAGAGCCCTTAGAAGGCATCGTTTGGTCCATCGTCTTTCTCTTCCGTCAGGGCGTGGGCGCAAATGAATGAAATGTTGAAGAACTTCGCTTTGATGCGGATTGTCGCTCGATCTTCATCCCCGGGGGTGAATGATAGTACTCGGCGAAGGAGTCTTCCCCCCACCACTAATCCCACACCGAATTAGCACTCCTTTATATGACCACTGTAGTAAATGCCACAAGAACATACTTGCCTCAGATGAAATGCTAACTTCTGATATTTTCCATTCCCCTGATGTTGAATGTTGGTGAAATCCGATAATAATTTTTTGTGGTGAAATCCTCTAATCTTGACGAATAATCCTCCATAAAGATGAACTTTTCCATAACCGGCGCACCATGAACATAATCAATGTTCTTTGGTAATATATAGTTCGGAGCATAATTTTTATTCAACGCTCAGCTCTGTTCAAGCGCTACTGTTTCTCCTTCTGAGTTGCCAAGAAATAGTTTTAGGTTATCTTCACTCTGTACCTTCTTATTCATATACATACGTTCTCTGACCATGGTAAAATGTTTCCTTCCGAGCTAGCTGTGGTGAAACACGCTGACCGAATTTTATCAGCTTTTGAAAATACACGGTTGTTTGTAGTTGGACCTTCTCTATAATTTACTACTCTCTCGTAAAACAATAGGATGCGACATCGCAATCACATTTTCGCGTTTGAACAGACTCTGACGAACGACACAACTTGTTTTATAGAGTTACCATAGATATTGTTGTATAGTGCATTGTCATTATAATGTTATTCTGTCTTTTATTTTGAACACTTTTTTCTTGTGTAGAAAAATCGTAAAGAAAATGTGTTAGAAGAAAGAATTGAAAAGTGAACAGCTAGCAGAGTAGTCATTTGTACGTGTTTGGGAAGTGCATTGGTTAATACATAAATTTTAAATTTGTGCGTACATGTGTAGTTGTCAAAGAGTTCTATATTATTAAAAAAAGTAAGTAATTTACGCTCATTTCCCAAAAGAAGTTAGAAAGCCGCAGAACTTTTACAAAACTTATATATGTATATTATATATTTGTGTTGTAAATACTTTAAATCACTTTAAAATAAGATATTGAAAATTCGTTGTGTATAATAATTAAATTTTTTTGTGCAGGAAAGCGCTAAAGAGAATAGTATTCCATTAAGTGAAAAAAGTACATAATCAAACATAAAGTAAAAACAACACCATATGATACAGATATTTCAAATAACCCTAAAAGTGTTAAGGTATGAATCGTAATCGTGTATGTACATTTGTATACAAACATACATTCATTGCATATAATTTTTGGTAAATACATAATACTAGGATTTAGAAAGCATCCTCGATTGCGAGGGTTGGGAAAACTTTAGTATACTGTCCCAGAATTTCGGAAGTTTACATGAGGTTCGGGTGGAATTTAGAATAGCATTCCCTGATTTCGGGATTATCGGTATGTACGGATAGAGGGGGTCCTCAAAATCTCGAATATATACAATACATATATGTATACATATGGTTTTAGAGATATTTGCTTGTTTCTTCGATTTATAATGGGTTTAACACTTATATTTTTAACTTTTATATCCACTAATTCGCTTCTAAGTAGTAAAAATTGCAAAAATAACTTCAATTCCATATATAACTTTCGTTGAAATCCGTTTATTCATACAATAAGAACATGTTTGCAAGCAACCAGAGCATGGCACGATACCGATTACTTTGGCGGAGGGGTTAAAAAACCGAATTTCCGTATAAATGAGGTATGTGCGGATCTTGATAAATCTATTTTATACGTTTCCCAAGATTATTTGTTTGGGTTGGGTTCGTTTTAGTATCTCCTTTTCACTGCTTATTCCTCTTAAATGCGTGCACGGATTTTTTTAAATTTATATAGCGCGGATAACCAATGAATTAAACTTTGGTTTAAATGTAAATTTATTGTTAAATGTTAATTTGTTTTTTAGATATAAGTAAGCAAAAAACGCACATTTTGACATTTGCTCAAACAATGGCTCTCTTCTTTCGAAGTTTCTGTTGCTCTGCTTGCAAAAAATTTAACCAAATTAACACACACACATTCTTCGAAATATATTTAATTGAACTAATGATAAATTATGAATTTTAAGTTACAATTTCATGTACTATTTAATAAATAAAACAGCTTCGATTACGTGTTATACTGTTCCTTGAAATGTAAGCAAAATTATTGAATATGAACTGTTAAACGACGAATAGCAGGAACAGTCAAAAACACTACTGCCTTCCTCCCTTTTCCTTCCTTATCGGCAAAATGTGTGCCCAGTGAAAAACGTGGCAAAAACGCAGAATTCAGCCATCTTTGTTTGTTTTCATTTGCACAATGTTTCCATTGCTCAATACGCATATATAGTTTTGTACACATCTATGTTTTCAATTAAAATTTTTTATAATATAAAATATCAAAATTGAAAACAATCTATTAAAAATAGTTTATATATTTATAAATAATAGTATTCGACTCCAATTTTGAGTTATTGTAAGAATATTTCAAACATATTGAACAGATTGAATTATAAAAGTTGATAATTACTAAAGTATATAGATATTGGCAACCCTGGGTTATGAGAGAGCAATCAGCTGACACGTTTAGACGGCAAAAACCAAAATGCTGTAGATTCTCACGTCATCCGACGTCAAAGAGAGAAGGGAGTAGCGTTTTTCACTGGGCACTTACATTGCGCGCCCATAAGATAGGTCGAATCAGCTGACACGACCCACGATTCTGCGTTTTTGACTGTTTCTGCTAGAAGAAAATAAGCACAAAAGGAAGACAGTAATAACACAACGAATCAAAATGGTAGGTCTTTTATACATTTGGGTTACTTTACGTTTTACTTTACTATTACGTCCATATAACGAAAATCTGGAATAAAAATTCGCCTGCGGCGATTGTTTCAATGTAGTATATTATGCTGAAAATGTATTCAAAATTTGGAATAAAAAATCGCGCGACAGCCCGAAACATCACTGATTTTCACGATTTAATTTTTTATAAATAAATACGCTCATTACGAATGCAAAATTATAATAGTTACATAAACTGTTGAAATGACACGTAAAACAAGTCCTGTACGATGTTCACCATTGCGGTCGCAATTATGGTCTAAAACAAAAATTTCAAAACGATTATTAATCTGTAGAAAAGTCGTTATTGCGCTATTGAAGCTTTTTTGTTTTTTAAATGTTATTTTAATAAAAAACCGATTTTGGCCCTTTTTCGGAAGTTTTTCGTAGATAAAAAAATAGAAATATTTCAAAAAAACAAACTTCCACAGCGTGAGAGCGAGTGACGTTAAAAATTTTCTCTCCTAATTGGCACTAACCCAGCGGGTTATGATAGACATTGGTAAGCGAGCGAGATAAACGATGCAGCATGGTTGTATAGATTATTCCGATCGATGAAAATTAAAACGGAGATGTCCTAGGTAAAGTAAGAGATCGCCCCTTTCGCTTATCATAGGAATGAAGAATTCTTCGGTGCCAAAGTTAAGGAAGTATTCCTCTATGCCAAGCTCAATAGTAGAATAGAAAAAATTGCATATTAATTTTGCTTTATTTATGAAAGTACATGTTTTCTTCATGAAAATAAGTATTTATGTATAAAAAGCAATGGTTTTATTTACATTTTGTGGATGAGACTCTTTTCGTTTTTTTTTTCCAAGCAACGAGACTTTTTTGAATTTTTTGAGCGTAACCCGATTCGGTGAAGCCTTCTACTTTACACATTCTACAAAAAAAGTTGAATCCGTATATAGTTATAAATTTTCTTCAATGATAAAAACACGAAAAACTTTCCAAATAGTAACGCATTAAAGTGCTTCACTTTCTTAATTTTTAATTAGTTTTCTCATATCACTTTTCGAGAATAATCTTTTATTATTTTATCCAAAGTTTAAACACAAAAAAAAGCCAAATTTTTTATTCAAATAGCAGCTCACCTAAACACAACTAACTTTCCGAAAATTTTCTTCAAATGCTTGACGATTTGATGAAATAATGAAAATATTTATGTACATATGAATTTCATTTCATGTTTACATATTGTATTATAACGTTTATCATGTACTTACTTGATTGTAAATATGAACGCTGTAGAACTTAGCATAGCTTACTTTTATGTATTACTTGTTATGGAAGAATTCTACATAGAATTTTCTTCTAAGCATTCTTCAAAGAAAAATTTAAGCGGTGAACCATTATCCCGCTGTGAAATATCTTTAAAACTTTTTCCTTTGAGAGTGGAAACCGTTTTGAAAAACACCATTCTGAGAAAAACGCGGTTAAAGGATTTCTGTTTTTTTTTTGTAAAAGACGAACAGTACTTGAATGGCTTCAACCAAGTCTACCTGCCATTTGTCGATGACATCACTTTTCTTCATCTTATACCAATTAGCGATTTTTTTGGTTACGGGTTAACTTCTTCTGATGATATGGCACTACTACATACATATAGCTGAAAGATGTTCAACCCCATTTCATAAAAAATAATTGTTTCTCAGTGCTTACTAGATCAGTAAATATAGCTTAAGATAGTCTAAGAAAGTGGAGGTGGGTATTTATTGGCTGCAGGTATATTATATATATGTATATTCTTAATTAGGATAACCTCCCCTTTCCATACATGGGTAACCGCGGAAATCGAAAAGTAAATTTTTTAAGTAATTCTTCTTTTTTTGTTTATTGAGAACCAACATAAATTTTTTTTAATAAACGAACTCCTTTCCGCATAGGAGTTTCCGCGGATGAATCATGAAGACTTCGGAATTGCATAGCCGCACTATCAGATTAAGTGATGTTAAAAACAAAACCTAAATTAAAAGAAAAAATTGTGTTAAATATATATATATTTTATTGATATAAATATACGTAAATTATTGAAAAATCACTCTCCGCTCACGGATTTGTAGCATTCGCCTCAAAATAAGACAATGATTTAAAAAATAATCGAGCTCTAAAGACTAATACTTTTGTTCCCATGAAAAGTATCCATGGTTATTAATAGTTTTTTCTTATTAATGATTTAAAATTGCCTAAAAAGTGTCTTCTGTTAAAAGCAGAAACGATTATTTTATGGACTTGCAGACTTTAACCAAGACAATATCAATCATCACCAATCGGAGTCTAAATGTAATATAAGAAACTATTACTACCATTAGGATAGTTTTGCAGATTAACTCGAAAAGTTTACTTCTACACAAAACTTTCAAAGCGGAAAATTGTGCCCAAATGGCGACTTCAGGAGCAACTGCGTCGGCGGCAGCACACGCTACCAGTGTCGTGGTTCTGGATCGCGGTAACAATACAACATGTACCATAAATCTGCATGGTGAGTATTCGTAATACAAATTCTTTATATTGATAATGCTTATATCAATTTATTTTGTACAAAAATTAAAGTTTGTTGTGGCATTCTTACTTCTCAGAACTTTTTATCCTATTTCGATAGAAATCAATCATCAATCACAATTTGTATATTGAACGAGCGAATTGAAATGTCATATCAGTATATACATACATACATTAATATATAAAAATACAGTGTATGCTCCACTAAACGCACTCTCTTCTAAGCAGATATCTCCATAAACCGTTTGCATTTACCGGTCCAACATTTTTTGAGGGTTATTAATCACAATCTATTAATCGGACAGAAATCCTGGTTCTGCCAGTGTCCTTTTATGGGATATTCAACTGCAAATTGAAACATTTTGGACAAAAAGTAATGATTTTTTATAAGACATCGGAATGAGCTGTAATCCCGCGGGGGGTCTGTACCTCCGTCCGATCAACTGTCCCTACAATTGATATATTGAAAAATCTTAATGGAACATAGTACCTTGAGCAACTGCTTAATACAAAACTATAGTATAGGGAATTGAAGTAGGGAGGGTGTCCGTGGTTTGCGATTATTTAACAATTGGGCATGGTTTCAACTAGAGGGTTAACGTAGATATCCTTAAATATCTATCAATATATATCAGATACAGATATCTATGGTTTGTTGAAAATCTCTAAAAGTGCGAGTACTCACTCAGAAGCACCAAATTTTACAATAAGAGCTCTATTGTGCAAAAATTGGAATTAATGGTGTTCTACCTTCAGCTGAAACACAATAACACCACACATTTAATATGGCATTTATAAAATAGTGGCAAAATGGCAGCTTCGGTTAAATAAGCGCCCGTGGTAATATTGCAATAAATCAGTTGTTCTTCATTTAAATATTTTTAATATTTAATTAATCAATTTTAAAATAATCAAATCATACAATACTATAGTTAAATATTAATACATAGTTCATTTCACAGCGATGAAACCAAAAAATAAGCGAAAAGTAAACAACTGATTGTGAATTGCCACGGATTCCATTGAGAATAGTATCGCGTACCTGTAGAACAAACTTCGCAAAATGGCAATGTCGCAAAACAGCTGCAATTTCTTACATTCAATATAATTTACGACGAAATTGCAGCTGTTTTGCGACATTGCCATTTTGCGAAGTTTGTNACATTGCCATTTTGCGAAGTTTGTAGTACATGCTAAAAGTTTGCGTCACTAATAACTCAACACTAACTTAACCAATTTCAATAAATTCTTTACAAATAAGTAATTAAACTAGGTGAGTTAAGAACCTATAATATAAGTTATTAATCTTCAGAAAACATTTTGAGACGTAAAACAGCCCATACACTATTTACTTTTGTTAAACGAGATCTTTATGCCAATAACTTGTGTGTGTGTTAATTGTGGTATTTTATTAACTGTTACCCTTTTCAAAGTTCAAAAACATATTTAATTTTAAAATTATTTTATATGGTAAATACAATTTGTAAGTATGTAAGTGATGTAAAGTAGAAAATGTGTGTCGTCCAAAAGTTAAGATGTCAAATATGATTAATTATCCATTGTATACTGGGTTGCAAATAATGCATTAAAATATAACTGATAATTTTGAAAAATAAATGAATGAAAAAAAATTAATCCCACACACCACTTAAAAATTTTGAGTGATAAGCTTTGCGTGGCCACGAGTGTACATACATACATATATAATTTACGATGTAATATAATTTACATTACGAATGAGTCCATTTAATCAGGACCGTCTGTGTGTCTGTATATAGGCCAAAAGTTGTCCTTTTTTCCTCTGTTTTGAAGTTGCTCATTTGTCAGAGCAGTTGCTGCCACGGAAATTGAAATTATTGTCAAGTTATTGTATGCGAAACTTTTTTATTTGACAAGATAACTTCACACAATTTGGAAATACATACATATATACCACTCAAAATTGATCAATCAAAATTAAGTTCTTGTATGGAAACTTTTACATTATATTGATATTAAAATTTTTTGGACGTTTTTTCCTCCCCTGAATTGAAGCTGCTCATTTGTTAGAGTAGCTGCCACACAAATTGACAATATTTTAGATCGAACCGCTATAGCGTATAGATGTAAATCAAACTAACCAATCAAAATCAAGATATGTACATTTTTAATGAGACATCTTTTTTCCGTATTATGTGACTTTTGTTGTTTATATCAACTAGGTTGCTTACAATTTCAAAGTTTTACATATTGTTGCCATTAGAAGTGCACATGTGAAGGCTATAATAGCTTTGGTGTAGCAAAAGTTAAAATTTTTTGTTTAATATATGAAAAGGCTTTTAATAAAAATTATGAGGGAAAGATATTTAAAATTATTAATATTTTTAATGCTTGTGAGATGTCTAATGTTTGGTTCTGGCCGAAATTAGACCATATATTTTTCATGTGTAGGCATCCTGAGAAATTTAAACACTGTATCCATATTTGTCAATGATTTGTGATTGTTACTTTGTAATTTTAACACAAATGTATCCATATACATATATGTATTTACATATGTATATATTTGGGGGATTCTTTTGCTCCTATGGTGAACGGATTGCTAAATTTTCTGATCCTTGCAAACCAGAGAAAGTGAATTATAGCGAAGGTTCATGGTGTGCCGATTGTCGAAACGTTCCTCTTTTGGGAGTGTTACTCGTTTCTTTTAAAGGATTTCACCACAAAAATAGTATTAGCGGATTTCACCAATATTTAACATGAGGGAGTTGGGCCGAAAATATCAGAATTGAACATTTTCAGTATTAAATGGGAAAAATAATGCTAATTTCAATGTTTAGAAACAGATTCGCATATTTACAATGTGCAAACGGCTAGGGGAAAGCCTGCTTTAGAAGCTTAAAAAAATTAAAATTTTTTTACTTAAATTTTTTTAAAAATTATCCAAGAATACATATGTTCCTAAAGTTATAGATGGGAATTCGAAATATTGTCGAAGCTAGAAAGGAAATAGTGACCGAGCGCCTGGCAGATACATACATACATACAGTGGGTTGCCAAATTATTAGGGACAGTCGCATTTTTCCCCAATTCGTTCCGTTGGGCGCAGTTGAGTGCGGTTTTAAGAGGAACAACTTTACAGGAAAGTATTTTTTGCGTTCACCACATCTTGATAACTCCAGTAGCAGCAGCAGTTTAAGTAGATTTTGAGAGTTAATGTATTTTCTTTACTTTCTACAAATATTTTACTCGCAGGGTGCTGAGCACGTATTTTAGTGAAAGTTGAAATTAATTATTTAAAAAAAGTTTTTATCATTTTTGTGCAACAAACGCAGATCAAATGTAAGTATCATAGTTGTGTTATAAAAAAAATAATGAATTTGGACCGATTTTCATTACAATATTTTTTTTTTGCTCCATTATGGGTCGAGGGTGTGATTTGTCCCCAAGGAAAAAATCAGAGAGTAAAACACTTCTCCAGCACACAAGCCATTCGCAAAGGAAGATAGCAGAACTAGCTGGAGTTTCTAAAATAAAGACTAGTTTTGATCAAAATCAGTCACTTTCGCCAAAAAAGAAAAGGCAACAGTGGAAGAAAAGGCATAACAACATCACGATCTGACCGGAAAATTCGGGACATCTGCTTGCAAAACAGGAAGAGAAGTGCTGGGCACTTAACTTAATTAGTTCAAGAGTCTGGAGTACTACTCTCCAAAAGAATTGTGCAACGAAGGTTAGCAGAAGAAGGGTTGGCTGGTCATCGTCCTGCTAAGAAACCTCGGTTAACAGATGCGATGCAGAAAAAACGTCTTGCCTGGGCCCAAAAATACCGCCAGAAGACTGATGAGGACTGGACTAAGGTCAGCTATTATTATTACTTTCATTTTACACAATTTTTTAAATCATATATTTGAAAATAATAAGCAACTTTCTGTTTTTTCAGGTATGTTTTTCAGATGAGTCAACATTTGAAATTCTGGCCGACAAGAGCAGCTTCGTCAGGCGACGTCCAGGCGAAAAATATCACCCTGACGCCCTGTTAAAATAATGGTGTCTGTCATAAGTGCTAAAGGGGTTGGACGTCTCTACATTGTCCAGGGTACCATGAGACAAGACCAATACAGACAAGTTCTGGAAACTCGACTGTTACCACAACTTAGGGATTGGTTCCCAGACGGTGAGGAATTAATTTTTATGCATGATTCAGCGCCATGTCATGAAGCAAGAAGTATAACCAAATTTCGCTCAGACCATATCATTCCAGTTTTACCTTGGCCTGGCAATTCACCTGACATGAACCCCATAGAAAATTTATGGCAGATTACTAATTCCGAAATTGCGAAAGAGATAATAACTACCAAGGTAAAATTGATTGAAAAGTTAATAAATGTATGGTATTACAACCCCATGATTAAAGAAAGTGCCTTAACGTGCATAGAAAGTATGCTCAGACGAATTAAAACACTCATTGAGGCGAAAGGAAATGTGACTAAGTACTGATTATGAATCAGAAATATTTTATCTCGCTCATATGTATATTTTTGAAATAATTATTTTTATTTATTGTTCTTATGTTAGTTTGTAAATTCCTCTTTTATTATTATTAAAGCTTTTTATAACTAAAAAAGACCAATACTGCACTTATACCATATTTTTGTGACTGTCCCTAATAATTTGGCAACCCACTGTATATGAGCGCTTGGGCAGAAAGCAAAAACTTTGACTCGGTTTTTCATTTTTACGATTTTTCTTAATTGGCGGGCAGCATTGAAAAAAATTAAACGTGTGGAATTGGGCAAAGTTTGTTATCTTTGCCATTAAGTATCTTCTATTTAAACTAAAAATGGAACTAAGAAAAGTTAAGTTTGAGCATATGTTGAAACAACATAAAGTAACATTTTTTTTTGGTCAAAAACCAAATTTTTTGAAATTTTAAATTTTTTTTTAGAATTTTAACCTTTTTTTTTTTAGTTTAGTTCAACTTGATCATAAGTTATGAAC